TCGGACGAGAAGCGGAATTTGATTCAAAGACAGTCATCGATAAAACTCATATTTCTATGCATTACAAACTCTACTCTCTTCAAACTTTATAGGTATAAGGTGTAAACAAAGTTCTTATTGTTTGGTTTTTTCATTACCACCATGAACTAGAATGGGGGAAGGGAGTGCATACATATGTTCATTATAATTTGCTAGATGTGTGTGCAAATGCAATTTTTGTTTATTATAACGTTAAAAGTTCCTTTTAACAAAGATGCCAACTACGTCAAAACAAATTGTAAAGAGCTAATATAATGTAAAAGTGTATAATTGTAAGCTAGAAAAAAGCCTGTTTGTCAACACTGATTATTTCGCAATATTGTTATTGTTTTGTACATCACAATACTCTGGCCCGCCATTATTGTGGTATTATTTTCGCGTATTGTGTAAAGTAACCATCACTCCTCATTCCCTACACCCTTATTTGCCCAGACCATTTTTGCAAAAACAATAAGGTTTTTACCGTTACTTCGCTTTACAAAAGCTGCAGTTGGAGAGCCAATGATGGCGTGTGTGTGTGTGGGAGTCTATGAATTTGTTTGGTGTTGTTACTAATACCATTGATATTTCAATCACTTAACAAGTTAGAGCTATATTACAATAGCAACAACAACCAAATATAAGCTATTTTTGTTGGTGTCAGCAGCAGCATCATAGTATGTAGTGTAGTTCATAAAAGAAGTCCTTTTTTGCATTTAAGCAAAAAAGCCACGCTTTTATCATATTTACCCACGATTTTTTTCGAGTTTTTTTTTTGTTATTGTTTGTCGTATTAAACGTTTTACTGTTTCGCGTTGATTGTTTGTAATTTTGTCTAATTGCTTCGGGAAGAATTTGCAAAATTCAAAAGTTAATACATAAAGAGTATGACAACTACTACAACAGCAGCTACAGGAGGAGCAATGTAAAAGTTATGGTTTGAGTTGAGCACGAGTTTGTGTTTGTTGCCAGCATCAAAAAGAATAACTAAATATGAAAATAACAATTTATTTTAATTGATATTTTGTTTGTTAGCCACGAAAAGGAATGAAAGAAAAAAAGTAATACCAAGTCAAATAAAACAAAATTTTTTTCACCCATGGTTGGTGGTAATAAAATAATTCATAATTATTGTTTGTATAAAATTTTTAATTTATTTAATCAATTAATTAAATTAATTGTAAAGAAAAAATTCTAAAGAAATTTGTAAAAAAAAAATAAACAAAATTCTGTAGAAAATTGTTTTCAAAATTTCCAAGGATATTAAAAAAAAAAATAAAAAATAATCTAATTTTTATAAAATTTCTCAAAGAGAAAAGGTATTGCCGAGTATAGGTAAGGATCTGGCGCTTATGATATTCACTGGTGGTAGGTTCAAAAAGTCCCAAATAAGTTGCCAGTATTAGTTCAAACATTTAAATCTATTCAGTCTACTTGGTAACCCAGTTTATAACCCATTTTTTACTAGTTTTCACTTTGAAATATTTAGCTAAAATTCTATATTTTTGGTTTTACAGCCTCCTTTCCTTTTCCCCTTTAAAAGTGTAAATAGTTTAACTGTATTTTTCCAACTAATTTAATTGCTTCTCCTAAGCCTACCGAATATTATTTAACACAGTTTACTATCATATTTATTTTTAGCAGATTTGTTTTTCTCTCTTTCTCTTTTTTATTATGTTTAACATGCATAACAATTTTCCTGTCATCTTTACTGGGGGATTTATTATGGTTTTTTTAACATCAACGGGACCTTTGCTGTTGTATCCCTGCAAACATTTTCTATCGTGAAAGTAATCTGATCTTCTTTTTGTCTGTTGCCCGTAAAAACTGACTCTATAAAACACGATAAAGTGATTTCCTAAACTTTTTAAGTGTTTACAATCTTTTAATTGTCTCGGAAGTCTGTTAAAAGAATCTTCAACTGATCTAAATGTTCTGGTCTTCTTTTCCTCACGGAAACATCCTCCATAAGACACGAGAAAATTATTTCTAAAAGTTTATTAAATGTTTATTAGAATCTTCAAATTTTAATCCAGAAGTGACAAAATGGTTGTGGATGTTTGCCTACAAATATTATATATCGCAAAGTCACTTAAAAGTATCATAATCAGGCGATCAAATTACTCGCGCATTTAATCGCTAAATGATCATTATTCTGTCTTTTATTTCCTCATTCAAGCGTTGTCTATTAGATACGAGGAATGTAACTTCTAATAGGAACTCAAAAGCTTTTTTATGTTTACAATCTTCTAACCTGTCATCCAGAAACTTTGATAATGAAACAAAATATTTTGTTTTTTTAATGTATACTATCTTCCAACTGTCATCCAGAAGTGATATAAATTAACGCATCAAGAAGATCAATGTATTTTGTTTTTCTCTTCCAACTATCATCCTAAAGAATTTTAAACAAATACTTTCAGTTGTTGAAGATCTTAGGCAATTTGGTATAATCTTTAAACTATCGTCCAGAAGATTAAAATGCTTTAGTATTAAGTTATTGTAAAATGTAAAATCTATAGTCTCTTCCAATTATTACCATACAATCTTCCAACTATCGCCCAAAAGTGACTTATACTTAAACATCCAGAAGATTACAATTATTTTGCAAATTAATTTGTTTTTGTGTAACTACTCTCATTTAACTATCATCTGGAAGTGTTTTTAACGCAAATTCTTCAAAAATTCCAAAAATTTTTATTTTCCAAATGTTTGTAGGGTTTAAGGTGAGTGGGTTGTATAGTTTATTTACACTTGTTTGTCTTGTGTCATAAATTTTTTGCTTCTTCTTCTTGCTGTATTTTTTTTATTCTTATTTGTCAATTATATTTCAATTGTGTTAAAAGCTGTAATTTACTTTATCCCAATGTTGTAGTTTTTCTCCTCTTTTAACCACACACACACACACGCACATACTCACATGCATACAAATGTTTACATATGAAATCCAATTGTATTGTGTTGTTGTTAAATCTTGTTTTTACTGTTATAATAGTTCGTGTATAAAAGAGCTTTGGTCTGGTAGCCTTAATACAGAGTGTAAAGAAATTAAGTGGCATTACTATTATTACTAGAGATGGTAGTAAGAAAATGTAAACAAGGTAAAGACAAGAGCTGTCATAGGACATTTTGAAATAAAATATGGGGAAAATTATAACAAAAAACTTAGAAAACCAAAAAAAAAATTTATATTTATTTTAAATTATAAATTTTTTAAATAAAATTCTTAAATTTTTATAAAATTTCTTGTTGAATACTTTTAAATTTCATTGATGTTGTTTACAACATATTTCAGCACCCTGTTGTTGGTGTGTCTGTATAGTAATGAAAGGATAACATACAATTAAAAACACTTTACACCAACGCAAACATAATCCTTTTGCAGAGAAGGGTTTTTTCCTTTTTTTTTTTTTGCAGTATGTCCTTTTTTTAAATACAAAATTGTGCATTTTATTTGCCTGTAGTAAAAAAAGGATCTACAATTTGGATTAACTTAACAATTTTTTAAAGGATTTTTTTTTGTATTTTAATGATAATGGATTTTGTGGCAATGTGGAGTTAAAATGTTGGAAAAAAAAACATGAACAACACACAACTAAACCTCAAAGCCAAAGGTCATCAATTTAAATGCAACAATAAAAATTAAAAGCAGCAGCAGTATAAAGCTAAAATAGACAAATTAAGCTAGTAATAGAAAGGGTAAATAGCCAGCTAAATCCTAGGTCGTATGAAAGATGTTTTAGAATAAACATGAAAAATATTAATCATACGACACGATGTCCCTTTTCAAATAATGCTCAGACATCTATAATGCAAGGATTTTAGAAGAAATTGGACTCTTAATCTAAAGGACAGGAATGGTTTCCATAGTTCTTCTTAAATCTAAAATATTTAAATACATGAAAGGTTTGTCCAAATACTAAACAATCCTCTCTCTAAATATCCCTTTGAATTCTAAAATCGATCCTCTTTTCCCTTTATTAGAGTTAAAATATTAAAATTCCTTTTAAAACTATTAAATTTTCATAATTTTTCTGTAAATTAAACCCTTCTTTTAACCTTAAATTCCATAAAAATATTATATTTTTAAAATTCTGCCACAAATACCCATAATTTTCTTTAGCTAATTAAAATTTATATCGAAATAAAATGTTCCCTTAACCCCGCCGCAACAAAAACAAGTTACACAATATAATCCGACAACAATTATTGTGTCAAAATAACAATCAACAAATCAAAGGCACAATAAATTGACTCTAGAGAGGTTGGTTGATTTTCTTCTTTTGTCAGAAATGACAACAAACATAAAAAACAACAACAACAAACAAAACAATTTGAAATCAAAAGGATAAAAATAACAGGAATAACAAGAGGAAAAAAACGCTAATAATAAAAAAATAACTGTAGGTGGTTAAATGTGTGTGCAACCACAACAAATAAACTCAAATGTAAACAAAACAGAGAGCAAGTACAAAAAATATAAAAAAAGAGAGTTAATTTACTGTTATGTTTGTGGAATTACGAAAACCTGGTGTAGCGGGTGGTATGAGTGATGTTAAAAACAAAAAGCACGTGCTTGTTGGCAAAAAGAGAGCCATGAACACTTAAAATTTAAGAGAATTTGTTTCAGCAATACAAGGGGAATTTAATGGAAATGAAACATTATAATAAAAAAGTATGAGGTTTGCTAATTAAACTCTTTAAATTAAAAGAAATTTTAATATAATTGAACAATTTAGGGAAAAATTTCTTAAAACCATTTGCTACTTTGTTATTCCTCTAAGGACTTATAAAGTTTATTTAAGAGAGAGATAGCTTAATATTGCAAATGTTCTTCAAAAAAAAGAGTAAAATTGTTCTAAAGAGAAACCAAATATATATGGGAGTAATTGTTATTGCTGTACAATTAGTTATGCACATTTACAACCGCCAAAAAACGACGACAGGCAATGGGTTTTTTTTTTCAACAAAAACAGAATCGTAAAGTACAACTAAAGTGCTGTGAACAGGATATAAAGTCCTGTGTAACAAGAGGGGGACGGTAAACATAAAAATGTATAAATAGACAACAGATATGATGGACTGCCAACAGTTTTAAACGAATTATCAAGGCGTAAGCACAAAACTAACGAGATAAATTATAACAATTTATAAAAATTATAACGAAAATATATTTTACTTCAAAAAAATAAAGTGTTAAAAAAAATAAATAATAAAATTAATAACTAAAAAAAAAATTAACAAAAATGTTTACCAACTGGTTAACGGGTACTACGGGTTTGACAAATTCGTCCTCCTCCTCTAACACAAACTCAAATTTAACCTCAAATCGTCTTACGGAAACTAATAATCATCTTGCCAACTCCTCTAGCAGTAGTACTAGTGCTACTGTTCCTACTGCCTCTTTAAATCTATTAAATAGTCATAATTTATCTAGTTTAAATGCAAATATAATGTCTACTCCTCCTGATATTATCTTGGAAGTGGGTCCTGCTCCTTCTACTGTACGTTTTATGGCCCACGGTTTAGTTTTGGGCATGCATAGCGGTTATTTACGTTCAGCCATACGTTTAGATGAACGTGGAGCAGGACCCTCATCTGCTGGTGCTGGTGGTGGCTCTAATGTTTCGGATATTATAGTTTATTTAACTAATGTTACTCCTGAACAATTTGCTCCTTTATTGACTTATATGTATACCGGATATTTGGATTTAAATGTGGAGAATATTTTTGGTGTTTTATTGGCCACGCATGTTTTACATATGCCGCGGGCTTTGGAAATTTGTAGGTGGGTGTTGTTTTGGAAAAAAAAAAACTTTTTGATTCATTTTTAAATTAATGGATTTATTGCAAAATTTTTGGTTTATTCTTCGGCTATAGTTAGTAAAAATCAGATTTTTTTCAATAGACTAGACTTGTTGAAAGAATCTGGTATAGCAATAGAATGGAAAAAGGCGTTTTTTCTCATTCTCGAATTAATATAAAATATTTACAATGAAGAAAGTTAATTTTAGTTTAAAAATACTTTCGAATTCCTGATTTCGTGGAATACTACCAAAAAACTAAATTGAAATATTTTAAGAGAACACCAAATGGTATATTTTGGAATCTAAACAATGGCAAATTATTCGAATACAACTTCAAGGACTACTGCAAAAGAATACTAAAACAAATTTAACTTTTGTACAAAATTTAAGAAACAAAAAGTTTCCGCTTTTGAAAAATTAAACCAAAAGTCTATATAATTGCGTTAAATTTAAAGAAAATTTAACATAACTATTTTAAATTAACAAATATGTAATAATATTTTAGTTAATTTTAATTAAATATTTTTGAAATTTTTTATAATTTTTCAAAGAAAATTTAAATATTTTCTAATTTGATATCTGATAAAAGAACATAACCTCAAAATCAGTAGTTAACACCTTAAATGAAACAAACTCTACCCATAACTACTTCAAATCAAAAAATAATGTTGTTTAAGTCAATTTCAATTTAAAAAAATATAATTTTGCATAATTTTTTCTTTAAAAATGCAATCTTAATGCAAATGAAAATAATAACCTCAAAAACTTTAGTTTAAATACGAAAATACCTTTATTCAACAACAAAATATAACAATTTAAATTTATTCCTTTAAAATAAATAATATTTTCAAGAAATTTTCTTCAAAAACTTAAAAATTATTGCAATTTAAATGAAAATATAAATCAAAACCTTAAAAAAGTATATTTTAATATTAAGTCGTTAACTTTGTTTACTTTTGATATTGAGTTGCCACCACAGTTTATTTCGCTTTACGATATTGCCACAGTACAAGTATAAAGCAATGATGCCAGATGATTGTTATAAAAAATTGTGCAATTCTGATTACAAATTTCTTTAGAATGAAGATAAGTGTGTTAATCATTTAAACAATCCGAAAAACTATTTCAATTTACATTGTTTTTGTTAATACCAATTAAAATTTCAATATTTTAACCAAATTCTATTAAAAAGTTTAAAAAATATCCAATCACGAAACAAAATATGATTTTAAACTCAAAAATTTTAGTTTATCCTAGAAATTAAGTTGCAAGATGTGTTTTTCATAAGTTAAAGAAACAAATACAATAACAGCTCAAAGACCCCGATAATTTTGAACTGAAATATCAAATTTCTTTAAAAACAATTTTGTTCTGCAGCTATTAATTCCTTATAAATTTACATTACAGATCCTATTTAGCTCGTGCCCAAACCGAAGGATACTTTGGAACCAATAACCCTTCGCTAAACACCACAAACACACATCCCTCTCTAACTTCAACAGCCGCAGCCACAACCAGTGGTAAAATAATACGCCCCATTCCCAGTAAACCAACATTAACAAATTTTGGATTTTTACCCATAAGTCATCAGACGTTAAATCTAAATCCTTTAGCACACACAACATCAAACATAACATCAAATCCTGCAGAACAAGAACTTAAAACTACAACCCCCGAAGCTGTACAACAAAAAGATGAGGAAGATGATATCGAAGTAGATGAAATAGATAAACAATCGTTAAATAATGAAAATCAAATACCCACAACAATAGAGGATGAAGACGAGGATGTAGAGGTGTTTATAGATTCCAATTCAGAGGCCGAGGTAGTGGTGGAAACACAAATACACAAATTATCCTTTAAAAAATTAATGGAAAATAAGAAATCTTCACAAGAAAAGGAAACAAAAGTGAGACATCATGAAAGAACCACGCATCATAGAAAATCCTCGCATCATAGTAAATCGGAAAGACGTAGAAAGGGTTCTTCGGGTTTACAGGTGGCTAAAGCACCCATACCCGCCTCTCAACTAGACACATCAGAGGCTAATAAGGTTATAATAGATGTGGCCAGTTGTGATGGTCCGGTACGTTTTAAACGCATTCTAAATACTGCCTATGGTCATAAACCAGATGCTTGCAATACTAGCAATCACCATTCAGGCGCTGGCCTTACAGCACCCTCAATACCCGAACGTTCTTTACAAAGTGTTTCTCTATCATTTCATCAACAAATGGCTAAAACCATTAGTCAGCAGCAGCAATTGCAACAGGCTGAGGAATCGGAAAATAGTGAAACTTCCAATGGTAGTTTAGGAGCTACTGTAAGAAATTCCGATAAGGCTAGTGGTAGTCGTAAGATACAAAGTGAAGTATTTGTTTGTGTTTACTGTAAACATACATTTAAATCACAATATTGTTATCAAAAACATGCTAAACGTCATTTAAATCCCTTAACCCTACAAGCCACTTGTGTGCCCGAGGGCAAAATGACGGCAAAAGAAGAATCTTCTGTAAATGGTGAATTACAAATAACTAAACATCAGAATATAACAGCAACGAGACCGTTTTATGTACGCAACTCTATGCAATATTCCTCAAATGCATCAACTTCTTTATCTAATGGTAATTCAACACTTCAGACATCCTCCTCCGCCTCAGCGGCTACTACCTCGGATTACTTGAGACGCGAAGTTAGACCCTTAGATATGAATGTTCAATATTATCCTTGTAAAACATGTGGCTGTAAGTTTCCTAGTTATTATTTTGTTCATAAACATCGTAAAATGTGTCATGCTGAGGAAGAGGCGGCAGCAGCATCGGCCGCTCAACAGCAGGGTGATAATGAGGCAAATGCTTCTAACAATAGTGTTGGATTGGTGGGGTCGGCGGATAAGTTAAGTACTCAAACTAGTGATTAAATTATTTATAAATTTTAAGAAAATTTTTAAAAATTTTAAAGAAAAACATATCGAGCTTTAGCATTTAATGTTAAAACATTTTAAAATCAAATTTAAATATTATTATAAGAAATGCACGAATTTATGGAAATTATGATCAAAAAATTAAAAAAAATAATAAATTAAACTTTCTTTTAAAAAAAAGTGATAAATTTCTGTTTAAAAGTGGGGTAGAAAGACTTCTGGTAACATGGTTCCATCAAATCAGAACAATAAAACAAAACTACAAACGCGGAAGCTGCTCGACAAAAAGATAAGGAAGATGACATCGAATGGAAGTTTCGTAAATAAACGAACAAAACTTTACTACTCAGTTAAACTAGGCTTAACTTGCTGTTAGATTAAACTCGAAACAAATATAGGCGGACTTTAACCGATGATTGTGTTTTTCAGTTATGGATATAAGTTCAGTTAACTGTGTTAGTATTGCCAACTTTTCACTCAAAAACATAAACAATGAACAGCTGTTTTTTGCAAATAATACTTTTGTAAAATGAAAAATTATGGAAAAATGTTAAATAAACATTTAAAACAATAATAAATAAAACAAAACAAATCAGAAAATTGCAATTTACTTAAAACCTTTCGACGTTTAAAGTTTCTTTTAAGAAATCTTTTGATGTTTAAAGTTTTGTATAGAAAATCATTGACGTTTATAGTCTCGTAGGGAACATCTTCAGTCCTTGAAAGTTTCATATAGAAAATCCTCAGACGTTTAAAATTTTGTATAGAAAACCTTTCAGAAAATTGCAATTTACTTAAAACCTTTCGACATTTAAAGTTTCTTTTAAGAAATCTTTTTATGTTTAAAGTTTTGTATAGAAAATCATTGACGTTTATAGACTCGTAGGGAACATCTTCAGTCCTTGAAAGTTTCATATAGAAAATCCTCAGACGTTTAAAATTTTGTATAGAAAACCTTTCGACGTTAAAAGATTCGTAAGGAAAATCTTTGGACGTTTACAGTTTTTCATAGAAAATCTTTGGACGTTTAAAGTTTTTCATAGAAAATCTTTGGATTAAAGTTTCGATGTTTTAGTCTCGATGTTTTAGTCTCGCAGTGAAAATCCTTTAAAGTTTCTTATAGGAAATCATTGGAAGTTTTAAGTTTTGTTTAGAAAATTTTCTTTAACAAAAGTCTTTGAACGTTATGAGTTTGTTTGGGAAAATCTTGAGATGTTTAAAGTTGCAGAAAGAAAATCTTTGAGCGTTTAGGAAATCTTTGGACGTTTAAAGTTTTGGACCTTTAAAGTCTCGCATATCAAAAATTTCTGGACGTTTACAGTTTCATATAGCACATGTGTAGCCTTTTAAAGCTTCGTATACACAAACTTTAGACGTTTTAAAGTTTTGTCTAGGACATCACTGGACGTTTAAAGTTTTGCATAGAAAAAAGTTGAATGTTTAAAGTATCGCATAAAAAGTCTCTGGATGTTTAGCGTTCCATGCAGAAAATCTTTAGAAGCTTAAGATTTTATTCCGAAAAATTTTATTCTTAAATATTTTAATAAACTGATCATTTATTGTCAATTTTAAAAATCCCTTGGTTTTTGCCACAAAAAAACCAAAAATAAATTGCCTTTATCTTTAAATATCTTCAGTTGTTATAAACTTCTCTACAAAGCAAAAAAAAAGCAAAGAATACTTTTTAAAAATCCTACCATGTGGAAACACTTAAACCAAATATTTGCAGCTATTTTCAAAGTAGAATTACAAAAACAAAGTACGTTAGCAATTATCTTAATATAAATGAAAATTTCATTTAAATAACGAAAAATAAAATAAGAAAGAATGAACGAAACAAGCGGTAAATAGCAGCAGCTATAGCCACAGGGGCAGTATGAGAATATACACAATGTGATAAAATAAAAATTACGTTAAAAATGCCTTAAATTATGCAACAGATTTTTTTTTTTTTTTTTTTTTTTGAGACAGCAAAAGAAATATGTAATGGGTTATTGATAGCCCCGGCCAGTAAACAACAGTCAGGTATAAATATATAAATAAGGGGACGAACACACACAAGTTAAAAAATTAAATAGCATTGCACTTTTTTTTTGGAGAAACATTGGCGGAAACGGTTATAATATGTATGTTTATACATATATGCAAGCTTTTATTATTTAATGTCATTTTTTGGTTGATATTTAATAATAAAAAAAAACAACGTAACAACTCATCTTTTTCCCCCTTTAATTTTAACGGTTGAACGATTGGTTGCTTCGTGGGACTGACCCGGAACATGATGGTACTGTCATCTTTTGAATGTCTCAATGAATAATTAATGCTTGACAAAAAAAAAAAAAGTAAAATAAAAGAAGAAAACTACAACGCCAACAAGTATGCTTTATGTATAACAGAGAATTGAACCCCTTTAAGCTATGCTATACTTTTTTACTTGTTTTTTTTTTTGCATCCTTCGCATGCATGCGTTTTTTATGGTTTAACTCTTTTTTTGGTTAAATTGTATTTATTTTTTTTTATTTTTTTAATTTTAACAAGTACAATTAAGCGCAAAAAAATATTAAAAGGGAGATTTTTGTAGAACTCAAACTGCTGCAATGCGTTGATTTTTATTTTCTTCTTTTATATTATTTGTAAATTTTGATTTGTGTGTGTTTTTTTCGGGGTTTATTCTGTATGCAACACAATCCTTATATTGTACAGTCATTCGGACACATTTATATCCCCTGTGAGTTAATTAAACTCAATTAAATTAATTTTTTTCATTGTTGTTGTTGCTGGTTTTTGTATTGTGTGCCAGCAGCGGTAGTTTATTGTAGATGTCTGTCATTTAGTTGATGTTATTTTTTACACTTCTTTTTTTCTTTCTTGTATGAGTTTGTGTGTCCTCTATGGAACGATTTTTTTTTGTTATTATTATTTTCTGCTGATTTTGTTATGATTTTTTAATTTATATAAAAATATATAAAATAAACACTTAATATTTGAAGCTTATACACTTCATGGCAAATGTACCCATAGCTGGGGTGTTTCCCTTGCTTTGTAAAGGTCATTTTGGAAGGTTTGATAATATGAATTAGTTGAAAGGTTAAACAAGTTCTTTATGAGAATTGTAGTAGTTCGAGAGTAAAACTATAATTTCAATGAGAGAAACTAATTTCGATTAGTAAATCTTTAGTCTTTGGAAGTTTCATTTAGGAAATTTTTGGACGTTTAAAGTTTTCTAGAGAAAATCTTCATAACTTCTGTAGTGTATACCTGATCATTTGGTTAAGACCTTGGACTTTGCAGTTACACCTTCAATAGTGTTTCCTAGTAGAGAGGAGTAGATCTAAAAGAATCTGAAGAAAGTTCAGAGGGTATACCTGATCATTTGGTTACAACCTTATACTTCCGAATTATACCTACAATAGTGTTTCCTAATAGAGATGAGTATTTTCTAATCGAATCAGGCACAGGTACCGGAGTTTATCTAGTTGATAGCAATATAAACTTATAGACATCCAGACGAATGAAGAGTTTTTTTTAAACCCATTGTTAAACTCTATAACAAAATTAATATTTAAATCATTTTAAACTAGAAAACTACTGTAGGTCATTTTCAATTCGTTTTTGTTTTAAAAATTTCCATAAAAGGTTTTTTATTAAAAGTAAATTTTTTTAAATGAAATTATTATATTAATTTATATGCATTGTATGAGTTTTTTTTTGCTAACAATTTTTATAGAAATTAATATGTCAACATTGATAGGATCACGTAGTTTTTTTTATTAAAAATTTGATTAATTAAATTTTACTTTTGTTTTTTTTTTTACAGTCATTAGCATTTTAATGACAATTGACACCATTAGCGTTATAATTTGGTTTTTAAATCAAGAAGAAAAAAACTAGTATAATTTAAGGAAAAACTATTATTAATGAGGAAAACCAGTGAGATTTTCTTATAAAGTGTTTAAAATAACAAAAGAATTAAATATTTTATGAATTACCAAGAAATTAATAAATTAAACTTTCTTTTTAAAAAAAGTGATAAATTTCTGTTTAAAAGTGGGGAAGAAAGACTTCTGGTAACATGGTTCCATCAAATCAGAACAATAAAACAAAACTACAACCGCGGAAGCTGCTCGACAAAAAGATGAGGAAGATCGAATAGAAGTTTCGTAAATAAACTCTCTGGTCGTTTAAAGTTTCATGTAGAAAATCTTTGGACGTTTAATGTTTCGTTAAGAAAGCCAACTGACGTTTAAATTTTCGTTTTTAAATCCTTATGACGCTCAAAGTTTTGTATATATATATATATAATCCTTCAATGTTTTGCATAGAAAACCTTTGGACGTATAAAATAGAAGCTAATGAAAATATCTGGGGAATTGTTTTGTAATTTGTTAAGAAAAGAAATTCTTTCGAAATTGTGCCCTTACTGCAATGAAACTTTTCTATTTAATTCATTCGCGAGTAAATTAATTAATTAAATGGAGTACATGATCCATTATCCCAATACTAATAATGATCCGTTTAGTACTCCTATGTAATGAAGGTATAGATCATGTTTATTTTTTTGGAAACAACACGATCTATACAAATCATGTATTCCCATAATTTTAGCAAGGTATTAGTTTTGGGATTACATTACATGGGATCACGTATTCTCATACTTTTAGCAAGAGAGTAGTTTTAGGATAACTGCGATGTAATGCATGGATGGATTACGTGGTCCTTACCCAGGTGCTTAATTGCGTATGTTTTTTATCCATATATTTCGATTAGTTTTGGACCAGTTCTAGTCCTTTAAGGAGTACTCTTTACACGCGTGTGTAGAGTAGACTCAGTTTTTGCAGGGGTGTTAAATATAATTTAGAATATGATTAAACTTTAAAGGAATAATAAAATTGTCTCGAATACTTAAACTTTTCAATTCATTTGGAATATTTTTGCATTCATTTCATTCGGATTAAATCGGTGCTGACTAACAACTATTCAATTTATTTATCTCTATCTATCTATTTATCTATCTATCTATCTATCTATCTATCTATCTATCTATCTATCTATCTATCTATCTATCTACCTATCTATCTATCTATCTATCTATCTATCTATCTATCTATCTATCTATCTATCTATCTACCTATCTATCTATCTATCTATCTATCTATCTATCTATCTATCTATCTATCTATCTATCTATCTATCTATCTATCTATCTATCTATCTATCTATCTATCTATCTATCTATCTATCTATCTATCTATCTATCTATCTATCTATCTATCTATCTATCTATCTATCTATCTATCTATCTATCTATCTATCTATCTATCTATCTATCTATCTATCTATCTATCTATCTATCTATCTATCTATCTATCTATCTATCTATCTATCTATCTATCTATCTATCTATCTATCTATCTATCTATCTATCTATCTATCTATCTATCTATCCATTTATCTATCAAAACTTCTTCCATGTGTATAAATTCAAAGAGATATTTCCAACTTATGAAGAAAACATTGAAAAAAAAAACTTACCTTTACCATCGATCGCATTCTGATCAACTGTGGATAATGATGATGAAGACGATGTCGTTGTTGTTATTGATGCAGCTACTGCAGCAGAAGAGACTGCTGTTGCAATAGTTGTGGCAGATGAAGAAGCGGCTACCGTTGATGATGTACAGGTTGATGTTATAGTTGCTATTGAGGATATATGAGCCGTAGATACAGCATTTGGTTTGGTAGTAGTAATGGCTGCAGTAGCATTGCTAGTTGCTGACAGATTAGCATTACCACCAACACCACCACCACCAGCTGCAGCAGTGGCTGCAGTAGCAACAATATCATTTGCATTCAAGTTATTATTGTTGCTATTAATATTGGCAGGAATGCTATTTGCTGCTGACGTTGCCGAGGCAGCTTTCAAATTAAGATTATTTGTATTAGAATTAGAAGCAGGAGGAGGTTGTTGTTGGTTATTAATGTTGGTTATATTGGTGGTGTTGGAATTATTGTTGCTGCTGTTAAGGCTACTCGTTAAATTATGCGAATTATCCGTATCAGCAACACGTTTCTTTTTGGGATCACTAAAATGAAAAAGTAATTGTATAAATTATTTAAATTCTCTTAAATAACTCAAGAAAACTTACCTAACATCTGAGTTACAGTCTGTATTGTTATTATTATTATTATTGTTATTTGCCCCCATAAGGCCTTCAACTTGTGCCACTTTAAGTTTTTGACCCAAGAAATTACCAGCCGTAGTTGAGGTAGTCGGCGTTGTAACATTATTACTATTATTGGCCGTTTGTTTCGTCGCCGTGCTACTGGTGGCAGCTATATTACTGCTATTGGAATTGTTGTTGTTGTTATTGGTAGAAGCATTGTCCTTAGTAGCACTTGCGGACGAGTTATTGTTGTTGCTATTGGCCAGTAGTTTATCATTGCTACTGCTGTTGGCTGGTGATTTGTTGTTGTCATTAGAGGAGGCTGTGGCGTTTGCTGCAGCATTAACGGCTTGTTGGGCCATAGCTGCCGCATACGAGGATTTAATGCCATTTGGCGTTGTAGTTGTTGTTAAGGGCGGATGTGTAGTTGTTGCATTTGTTACCACAGATGATGACGATGTTGTTGAAGTTGAAGACGTAGTCGAGAGAACTGTAGTAGATGTTGCAGTTGTGCCTGTTATAGATGTTGTTGATATAGCTAAAGGATCTTCCTCTTTTGTAAAGCTGCTGTTGCTACTACTACTACTACTGCTGGTACTACTTGTTGTTGTGGCTTCAGTTTTACTTCCACCACCACTATTTTTATCACTTGTCGTTGTTGTTGTTGTTGAATTATTAGGATCGTTGGATTTTTTCTTAGTGTTGTTCTCTTTGGAATCCTCTTTATTAGGTTCTTCCACTTTGCTCGAGGTGTTATCTCCCGCTTTCGTTTTGGCAGCTGTTCCGGTGGAAGCAGCATCTGTACTCGATGTGGTTTCACTTTTATCGCCCTTGGAGGCGGAAGTTGTTGACGCTGCAGACGTTGTTGTGGCGGTGGCTGTGGTTGTTGAAGAGGCAGATGTTGTGTTAGTCGTTGCTGTTGTTGTTTTGCTGCCACCACTATGGGACGTTACTTTAGACGCTTCAGTAGTAGTGGTATCAGCTGTTGTTGTGGACACCGATTCAGCCGCAGAAGCAGCAGCTTCTGCTTTAAGGGCTTTTGCACTGGCCGCCGCTTTGGCTGCTTCTGCTGCCGCCTTTTCTGCAGCCTTTTCACGTTCTGCTCTCTCACGTTCTCTTTCCGCCGCTGCTGAACGTCCTCCAGACTTTTGCTGTTGTTCTCTTTGCAATCGCGTAGTTACACCTGTCGTCAGCGAATCAATAATGCACTGAGTCTGTTGTTGCTGAGACTTTTGCAGTGTTTTCGAGGCTCTTGTTCTCTGACGGGATTTTCTTAGCAGCTGCTTGTAGTTCTCTGTCTTCTTGCTGAGGTAGTAGTAACGTACACAGTCCTGTGCGGATTTTCGATCCAAACTGGCAGCAATGGCGCCAAAGTTCTTGGGATGCTGCAGGAATTTCTCTTTGAAAATCTCCTTTTCGCCTGCTGTCCATACGTTAAGTTTGGCCTTTTCTTTATGCACCGCCACCATGTCCTCGACCAGACCATTTTCATTATGATAGACGCATTTTCGTTGATGGGCATCGTACATTAGCGGTGGTATAATGGCATAGGAGCGCATCTTCCGCACCTCCATGGCTTGTTCTTGTAGACCATCCATAATCTCCTCATAGTCTGCTTCGGACTTGATACGTGAACCCACACGATTGAAGCGCTCTTTGTCTTCACGTTGTTTACGTAATTCGGTGAAGACTTTCTCAAAGAATTCGCGATTTTTGGCCTCACGTGCACGGCGCTTAGCGCTCGCTTCAGACTTATCGACACGTTTTTGCCACTCCGCAGACATTTGAGCGTAAGTCTCCGCCACCTTAGTGTGGTGTGCCCAACGATCGTTCTTTATCTTACGTATGTGCTCCAGCAGGGGACCTTTAATGATGGATTGGTGGCGTTGTAAAAGTGTTGCTAGATGTTCTACATCTAGAGGTTGGTTGTACAACGGCAGCAAGTAGCGTTCACCACAGCTGTCCAGTATGGAATGTTGGGAGGCGGCCGTTTTACGGTTCGCCAAATAGATTTTCTGAGCCAGCGTTTTAGAACGCCACGAATTGGCGGCATCTTCCTCGGCATCAGCTTCAGCCTTTAACCTGGCAGCCTCGGCCTGTTCCTTTTGCTTTTTAGCTACAGCCACCACATCCAGCAGGCTCTTTTCCTTTTTGCGCAGTGCTGTTAGGGCATCGTCGGCGCTAGAGAGTTCCGTGTCCACTTCTTGGATTTGCATTAACAGCTTCTCTTTGGCAGTGGGACCTCGCTCTTCGGCATTGTCTGCGGGCAGCGTGGGCGATATAGCCTCCACCTGGGGATGATAGGCTTCTGTGGACGACGACGATGACGTAGTTGACGCTGTAGCTGTAACAGTAGTCGTTGAAACGGAGGACGAGGTATTTGAGGTGACTGCCGATGAGGGCAATGAGGAGGCATTGGCCTTAAGTGTAGAACTTGTAGAAGAATTTGTTATGACATTTAGGGCCGTATTAACACCCGCCAGTGAAGTGGGCGTAGCACGATTTATAGGCGGTGTATTGGCATTTGGTGGTGGCGGTAGTTGCTGCGTCTCAACTTTCAGTTGATGCATCGTCACTGGTTGTGGTTGAGTTTGTTGCTGTTGTTGCTGCTGCATGGTTGGCAGCGCCTGTTGTTGTTGCGGGGGTAAATGAGTGGGCGGCAGGACCGTTAAATGCGTGTGTGGAGGCAATGACGAGTGACCATGGACTGCAGCAGCATTAGCTGATCTTAGGGCATTTGCTTGTGCCTGTGTTAAACCTACAGCCGGTGAAGGTTGTCTCTGTTGTTGTTGTTGTTGCTGCTGCTGCTGCTGCTGATGATGATGTTGTTGCTGCTGCTGGAGATGAAGCTGCTGCTGTTGTTGCTGGTGGTGCTGTTGCTGCTGCTGTTGTTGCTGCTGACTAGGCGGAGGTGGTTGGACATTTTGTAGTTGATGTGTTGTTGGCAGGTGATTGGTAGTGTTTGAGGAATTGGTGACAACATTATTTGCATCACTCAGTCGTAACTTTTTAAAGGGCTGTTGCCCACCTGGATCGGGTGGACCTTGAGGTGGCCCATGTCGATTTAAAGATGCCGCCGCTGCAGCTGCCGAAACAGCATTTGTCAGATACTCGTTGGAATATTGTGGTTGTGGTTGCTGACGATGTGTGGGTGGCAAAAGTATACGTTTGCCACCAATTATGCTACCACTACTGCCACTACCTGGCATTGGAGGTGCTGTATTGTTGATGTTATGTGGGGAACTGGTGCCACCGCTTGTATTCGCTCCCGTTGCTGAATTGGGCGCATTGCTAAGCAATTGCGTCGATCCAGTCGATACGGTTTGATGTGTGGCAGGTGGATGGGCAAAATGCAGCGAGTCCAGACCATGTGGAGCACTAATGCTAACACTGGAGGGAGGAGGTGGTCCTTGCACCACACCAGCTGAGCCAGGCGGTGGTGCAGCAGCTGCCAGAGCAGCAGCCACTCTATAGTCCTGTATCGGTTGTATTCTCGTATAAGGATTTTCACGATACTGGGCTCCAGGACCGGGTATACCGTATGCACTCTGTAGTATGAAACGTTGGGGTGCTTCGCGTACTGCATTGACATCGGTAAATTTGGCATAAACATTTGCAGCAGCTTGTGAACCAGGACCGGGTCGTGGTGGTGATAGAGGACTAGCTGCCGAACGTGACGATTGTTGTTGCTGCTGTTGTTGTTGTTGTTGATGATGATGCTGCTGTTGTTGCTGTTGATGATGTTGTTGTTGCTGCTGTTGTTGTTGATGCTGTTGCTGTTGTTGCTGATGATGTTGTTGTTGTTGCTGCTGCTGCTGATGTTGTTGCTGCTGTTGTTGTTGTTGTTGCTGCTGATGTTGCTGATGCAACTGCTGCTGGTGATGATGATGCATTTGTTGTGCATGCAATTGTTGCTGCTGTTGCTGTAGTGTTTGTTGATGTGGTGGTGGCGGCCCCAGGCCACCACTAATTCCCTTCGTATACGATGACGTTGTATCGGCAACAGGCCTGTAAAATCAAAAGAAGAAGAATAACAGCCGATTATTAGATTTTTTATGAATAACAAGCAGATGAAGATTTTTTATAAATATTTGAAAAAGACAGACAGATTAGATTATTGGGTTTTAAAAATCTTCCGATAACCTAGAAATTTTTATGTTTATAAACCGCCAACCTAAAGATAATAAATAATAATTTTTCGCATAAAGTTTGCAATTTTTGGTAATATAACAGAGATTTTGTTTTATTTGTAGATTCTTACCATTTGCCAATAAGCACGTTATTTCCTTATTGCATTTAGCCTTTTTTCAGAAGTTTTTATTTAATATTTACCATTAATTATAGTTTTCCTTTTCCCCAAGTACAAACTAAAACATTTCCTTGAATACACCATACAGCTGTGATGTTGTTTGTGTGAAATATCATAATACACATTGTCAATATAGCGTTTTTAATAAAAGTGTGTATTTATTTTAGCGGTTTCGCTTAAATTTTTTTATTGTTTTTACATAAAATGTTTATAATGTAAAGTTTTAAAACAATAATACAAATACTAAATGCTTTTTTATTAACTGTAAATATATATTACTTTAAAAATTTAATCAATTTATCAATTTTGCTTTTAAGATTTATCAGCGACTTTTATTTTAACCAAATGGGCAATACTAATCAAGCCATTGTTTGTAAACAAAAATTTGACAGCTTTTTATTTACCACATTCATATGCGCGCAAAGTAAAAATACAGGTTTATTTTTTTCTTTCTAAAATTTTTGGATTTTTTGTAAAAGAAGGAAAATGCCTTACAGAAATTCAGAACCCTTCAACAATTTTAATATTTTTTGCTGCCCTTGAAATTTATTTTTTCTTTAAGATGAAATATGTAACTGGGAAATTGCTGTTTATTCTTAGGTCTTTGAAAGAAAATACTGCCACAATCGTGTCATTTTTAGAACAAGGCTGAGAGATATTGTCTGGAAATTAAATAATCTGACTTAATACGTGTTCTATAATTATATCTATTGATGGTGACATTTTAACAGCGACAATAGTCTTCGCTAGCTTAATTCACTCAAACATTATACCACTATAATGCATAGGTAGGAACAATGTCCTGAAAGCAGTAGCCGACATCACTAAGGGTATGGATAAAGAAAGCTTTTTGTATACCTATAAATCAATTGGTCGGTAAGTGTTTACGCTGTTCCAGTATGGTCTTCTAAGTGGAGAAATATTCAAAGCTGCCAAAATGCTACCTGAATGCAGACCCGTAATCGAAATGTTTAATTGGAGAGAATATTTCTACGTTGTACTGAAGTTAAATAAACGTTTCGCCAAGGCTTAAAAGAATATTTACTCTGTGATACGAATTTGTCTGTTAAATAAATTGAATTTGGAAAGTTTTCTCCTTTATATCGTATTACCTGAAAAATGCAAAATTTTTAGTGTTACAGTTTTAATAACTTATTAGAAATTTCTCATAAACTATTAAATTGTTAAGGATCTATTAGGAAATTTTTAAATCATTCGCGTTTTTTTATAAAAGCAAGCATTTTTCATAAAATATAGAAAATTTATTTGTAATAAAAATAAAGAATTCCAAATTCTTTCTTTTTTATAAAAATATTGTATTTTACATGAGAATTATAAATATTATAATTTGAATTATAACTGTTTTTCCTTTACTTGCCACATTTACAAATATTAATGTAAAACTTTTCTCTAAATATAATTTCAACATACTTTGGTAAAATTAAAGAAAAATCTCATTATTTCTAATTAAAATTTGCAAATGCGACAATTACAAAAACAAATCAATATTTTTTTCTGTAAAAATAACATAACATGTCTTTAAAAAGTATTATTAAAAAAAATGGAATAAAATTAAACATACTCCATCAAATATAAAGTCAAAACATTAAAAAAAACTAAACTAATTTGGGTAAAGATATTCTGGGACGTTTGGCAACTTTAGAAGTAGCCGGTTGTTGTTGTTGATTTTTTGCTTGAGCTTCGGCCAGCATAGCAACGGTACGTCTTAAATCATTGATTTCCTCTTGCATTTTATCATATGTGGGTCTAATGAAACAAAAGGAAGAAAATATGTTAGAAATGTATATTAAAGGCTTAAACATTTAACTTACTTGTCTACCGTATCGATGTTAGTAACAGGTGCAGCAACTAAAGGAGCTGCCGTAGCCTGTAAATTGTTTAAGGGCACCGCCTGTATATAAGGAGCCGTCATTTGGGTAGTTGAACTAACATTTGCCGACATTGTAGGAGGTGTATTAACCGCCTCACCACTGGTTACAGCAGTAATTTTTAAATTAGGATGCATTCTTACGGGTAATTTGATAGAATTCTTTTGAGCTGCAACAGCTGATGGAGCAGGGACTACTGGATTGGTAATATTAGCAGCCACAGAAGGTGCTGCTGGTAAATTACTGGTATTATTTATGGTGGATACCACAGTGGTCATGGCTGCAGTGGCCGAGGAACCCTGTCCTGACATTATTTTCTTTAACATTTGATCGGCACTTTCTTTCTGTGAAGTCAACAACTTCTGCATAGTAGCTGGATCATTTTCGGTGATTTTCTTTAGATACGTTTCATCGGTATCTACCACCACATAGTTGACTACATGTACATGGGAATTTGGTATAATACGGTAAATAGTTTTTGTTTGTCCTTCACCATTGGGATTTTTAATGTCCATAAGACGAGCAGAACTGCCATCCACTTGAAAGACTGCAGTGAAACCATTAACCAACATGGGTTTTTCTATGACCACAGGATCGGCTACAAATTGGGTGGTTTTACGTTTTGGTACCATGGATATCAGTTTATTGACATTACAGTCGGGATTTTCACAACGTCTGTCGGACGTTTGCATGTTTGGGGCGGTGGTGGATGCTGTTTCTGATGCAGACATCATGATTTTTGTTGATTTATTATTAATTTATAATTTATAAATTTTCCTTTTAGTTTAATCAAACAGCTGTTGAGGTGTGTTCGTTTTTATAAAAGGTAAACAATTGCTGCTTCTTGTTTACTTACACAAGTGGTGAGTAAATGTTTACAGTTTGAAAAGCATTGCTGAATCAAAGAGCAAAATGCAAAGGTAGAGAAACAATTAACAATAATTAGGAAATTATGGCAATTGTTTTCCTAATTTTAAAATTTTATTAAATTTCTTGTTAAAACACAAAATTCTTAATTGTTTTTGTTTAATTTGTGGTATTTTTGTTGTGAAAGTACTTTAGATTAAGAAATTCTGTCCGCCTCATCCGCTCACACCGGCAATGTGTTTTTTATAATTTCTCTGCGCCTTTTTTATTTGTTGTTGTAAATTAATGTTTATTTTATTTAAAATATTTGTTTTATTTTCATTTAAAGTATAATTTCTTAGTTTAATTTAGTTTTCTTGTATTAATCTTACTTCTTTCCACGTTTATTAGTTTTTTGCAACTAAATTTCTGTGTTGTTTTTTCTTGTCAAACCGATAGAATACAAACACAAAAGAAAATCAAACAATTGCTGCTCTTCTTCTAAAAGTGAGGTGAGTTTTTTCCGTTATATAGATAACACGAAAGAGTAAAAGGGATAACTATAGTTAAGCTAAAACCGTTTCGCCTAAAATCCATGATGGCTGCCACAAAAGCAACAATTACGTTTGAATGTATACGTTAAAAAGAGAGGTATATATAAAATTTAATTATTTCTATATGTTTAGCTCTTTCAGTTTCGTGTCTAGTTTCATGATGGCTGCAATTTTTGAAACGGTTTATTTAACAACCTGTATGATGTTGCTGGTTGTTAGTGGTGAATTTTTCATTGTGGACATGTTCGTTGAGGTCTTAAATGATGTTGTAATATAACTAGGTTGTGTTGTTAGTTTGATGTTGTTGTGCTTATGCTGGTATGACCGGTTTTTGTTTGACGAGGTTGTGGTTTGATGATTTTAAATTTGTTGCGGGAATTATATGAATTTGGCTTAAAGATTTATTTTTAGTCATTTGGTTTATAGGTTTTTTTTTGCGATTTTTAATTGAAAAGAGATTTTTTGTCAAATTGTTTTATAAGATTACACATCTTAAATATTTGACTAAAACCCCAATTTTTTTTAAATTTTGTTATGAAAAACTCTTAACAAATCATTTCTCTACAATGATTTTTATCAAAAAATTTAATAATCATGTTTTTTAAAAAAACATTTTCAAAATTTATTATTTTATCTTCTTGTTGCTAACGCTGCAATTAGAATACTTCAAAATCATTTTAAGTTTAATTAATTTCCATCAGTTACCAATCAAGATTGATACGAAAACATAGAAAATAATATTTCGATACTTTTTTCAAGTTTATCTGAATAAACAGAAAAATATTGAAATTATTGGTAATTGTAGAATATTATTTTTCTTTTTACCTTTTCACCACTTTGTAAAAGAATTTTTTCTTGACCTTAAACTTCCAAAAAGGAATTTTCTTCAATTTCAGCTTTAAAAACTTTATTACGCAAAATAAAAGTATTTCTAAATTGAAACCCTTTTAAATTACTGCCCTCAAACTAAATTTCTAATAAAATATAAGAAAAATAACTTTAATATCCTAAAAAACCTTTAAATTTCACAATATTCTCAAACAATTTACTACTTTAAAGAAAGTAGTAAAAAAAACAACACCACCAAAAGTACAAAACAATGAAATACGCCCAAAATTTACGACCCTGGGCACGACATCAACTCATAAAGTTAGTAAACAGCAACAAAAAACTAAATAAAAACAAAACACGAGAAAGAAAAAAATTATTACAAAAGTTCCACAAAAAGAAATGAGAACATTAATATAAAGAACAAAAACAACAATGAGGAGAGAAATAAAAAAACATCTAAGGAACGCAAAAAGAAATAAAAGGAAAAAATAACAACAAAAAATAATTGCGACGTTGCGCAAATGAAAAAAATCCTGCTAAAGTAAAAATATACCAAAAAAGAAGGATAAAAACAACAACCAACACCGTCATGTATAGAATCGGTTTGCATGGATGGTTGAATAAAACATACAAATAAACAAGAGGCAAAAGATATACGGTTAGAGAAAGGGAGGGAATAAGGAAGAGAGTTGATATAATAAAATAGGATATGATTGAGTACCAGGGACGGTAAATGAAATTATCAAATAGTATTAAACAAAATTAGATAATTGTATATTTTCATTCCGTTTCAATCCGTCTTCTAGACTGGTCCATAAAGTAGACAATATAATTTTATAGGCTAGACTATTAACTAGTCCTTAGACTAAACAAACGGCTAGTCTATAAACTAGAGAATCGACTAGTCTATAGTCTACACAATAGATTAGGATATAAACTAGACAAGAGACTAATCCATAGAGTAGACAACTGACTAGTTCATAGACTAGACGAAAGACTAATAACTAACTAACAAGTCCATAGACTGGGCAAAAGACAAGTCTATGAACTAGACAAAATACTAGTCCATAGATTAGATCGAATTTTACTAAAAATGTACAATTGTACCAACCCTGTTGAGTAGATATACTAAGCACAGTGGGAGAGTTTTATTGAGGAAATAAAAAAACTAGAACTTTCGAAAGGATCATATAATTTTAATACCATTTCGGAAAGAATATTAAGATTTTTAATAGATAATTTATTCTAAAATTAAGAATAATAATAATTTATTTACCTAAATTTACTTTAAATATGTACATCTCCCACTGTGCCTTGAGTGGGTGTTTGGTGTATAGGCCTTGTGAGTAAGCTTTTACACACACATATTCACACGCACGCATCTCCACTAAACACTTGATTTTAAATGGGTTAGTCTAAGACCATTTTTTTCGTATTTTTTTTTCTTTGCAAGTGAGAACAAAAACAAAACCCAATAGAATAAAAGAATAAGGAGTAAACAACACACACAACTTCAACTAGAAGAAGAATTACATTAAAAAAATAACAACAAGCTCAAAAAAAATATAAAAGCAAATGGCAAAAAATCCATTAAAATACCAAATGGAAACTTTTTAAGTTATTAACAAACATAAAAAAGTACGTAGAAAAGAAATAGAATAAATTAAAAGTCTTGTTATTGAAGCAAAAAAAAAATGTTAAAGAATTTATTTTGTCATTTCTTCTTTTTACCATTTTTCTCAGCATATGTTTAGTTAGAAAAAGGGTCCTGAGAGAGAAGAGGAGTAGACTAAAAGGGAATTCATTAATAATTAAAAACAAAAACAAAAGATGAAAAAATTAAAACAATCTGAGTAAAAGGCAAACATTTTAAATTTATATTTTTTTTGGCAAATAAATTGATCAAACTTGATAATCTCACATATTATAGATTAAAATGATGATAGTTCTATTAATAATCTTAGAAGTTTTGAAAAAAGGCTTTGCTCTCTGATGTGGCTAGAAGAAACGAACGGCAAAAGGTCATCGGAGCTACGGACGTTAATCTTTAATAGATTATAGCCCAGATTATAGACTAGGCAATAGTTCAGACTATAGAGTGGACTATAGTCAAGACTATAGACTAAATTATAGACTAGACTACAGTAACCTCGACTATAGACGATTAGATTACTATAGACAGGAATATACCTGGATTATAGTATAGACTTTACAATGGACTATTGTCTACAGACTATAAACTAGACTGTAATCCAGATTGTTGGTTATACTAAAGACTAGACAATAGTCCTAACTATAGGTGTGTCTGTCAGTTAGACCGGAGGTTTAGGATTCGATTACAACCCGAGATACTTATAAAGGACCACAACTTTCACGATAGGGGCCTCAGAGTATTCCTTCAGATTTAATGTAACATTTGTTTGTACATCCTCCTGTCAAATTAACTAACTATAGATTAGACAAAAGTCAAGTCTATAGACTTGACACTATATTATAGTGTAAACTATAGATTAAAGATTAGACTATAGACTGAACTATAGATTGAAATACAGATTATAAACAAGACTGTATCCAGACTACATATTAAACTTTAGTCTAGACATAGACTATATTCCAAACAATAGTCTAAACTATAGTCAAGACTATAGACTAGACAATAGACTTTATAATAGATATTATTCGAGACTATAGTCCAGATTATATTCTGGTCTATATCGTAAACTATAGGCTAGACTGTACCCCAAATTACAGAATAAATTATGTTGGGCCTTTTCAGGTCGTACCTGGTACCAGAGTTAAAAAGAGTAAGAACGGTCATGCATCCGGCTTTGTGACAATACGCTTTATCGCCATACAATAACTGGCGATAATATAGATCTCTACCTTTTTTTCTGATTTATACGAGTTATACCTACAAACTTTATTACCTACAATAAAATCAATACCAGTATAGAGAACCTTCTGTGGCGATATTTCGAACACAGTTTCATTTTTTACAGCAGGACAGGCTGATATTATTGTATCGCTATTTTGCCTCCATATGGACCATGATATTGTTTTTCTCATAAAAGAAAACAATATATGAAATGTGTTTTTTGTTATTATTTCGTATATTCTCCCTTCTTCTTGTTATTATGAATGTTTTGACTATGTTTTTTTTTGTATTTCTGTTGCCTTGTTAGTACGTAAGAGGACGTGCGTACTTTTTTCCCCAATTGCCAGTACTTTGGTCTGGTTGTTATTGTTTTGTTGTGTACGAGTGAAATTTGGCAACATGATAGGAAAAAGTATTATTTTCTTTTATCTTACATTATTGCATGCAGCAACTTGCATCATCATGCTGGATTTTAAGTGTGTCTATTTTTCAAGTCCTATAAGATTTTTCTTTTAGGAAAATTAATAAAAACAGCAACAATATATACCAACAATATACTTTCAAAATCTTAATTTGTAACGATAGAACTTATCAATTTATGTAAATACCATTTTAACAAAGTTCAATGTATGATATTTGTTAAATTGATTACAAAAAATTGTTCATTATTTGTTTTTTAATATTTATTTTAACATTGCCTTATTTATTTTCCTTAATTATAATTCTATTTTTATAACAAACCCCAAAAACCATTATGATTCCAATATTTCACATACACTAAATAGATGAGTGTAGCTGTCTGTTTATTTAATCAGTCGCAGGCCAAAGTAAATGTCTTACCTGAAAAGAAAAAGAAAATAAAAACATACACAAATTAATTAGAATTCATTAATAAAATATAAATGAACTTAAACAAGAAAAAAGTAAAATAAAAAATTTTAAAAAGAAAAACATGTGAGCCAATTAAAAGTAAATCAACAATGGCAAAATATTATTAATGCCAGCAACAACGACGACAATAATAAACAATAAAAAAAACGCAACAATAACAACAACAACGACGACGACGACAATAAACCCCATCAACCTATAAATGCCAACAACTGATAAAATTTTATAAAAAAAAAATATAAAATTAAATAAACAAACGTTCAAAAAAAAAAAAAACTAGAACATTCAAACATGTGTATTATAGCAACAACAACAA